GCAGAGACATCACCTTGCCAACAAAAGTCCATATAGTCAAAGCTATGGTTTTCCCTGTCGTGATGTATGGCGGTGAGAGCTGGACCATAAGGAAAGCTGACCGCCGAAGAATTGATGCTTTTGAATTATTGTGCTGGAGGAGACTCTTGAGAGTCCCCTGGACTGCAAGGAGAACAAACCTATCAATTCTAAAGGAAATCAACCCTGAGTGCTCACTGGAACGAGAGATCATGAAACTGAGGCTCCAGTACTTTGGCCATCTAATGAGAAGAAAAGACTCCCTGGAAAAGACCCTGATGTTGGGAAAGTGTGAAGGCAAGAGGAGAAGGGGACGACAGGATGAAATGGTTGGGCAGTTTCATTGAAACTACCAACATGAATTTGACCCAACTCCAGGAAGCAGTGGAAGAAAGGAGGGCCTGGCGTGCTCTGGTCCATGGGGTCTCAAAGAGTCGGACATGACTAAACGACTAAACAACAACAACTGTTTATATGTCTTCCCACAAAACTATGCAGGAATATTTTACTTGTGCAATATCAGTAATATGCTCTTCCTTCATAATTCCTCAGTGGTTTAAGTTATTTCTCTCTCTCTCTCTGTTTTCCATGATAGAAACGGTAGGCATACTATTGTTTGGTGATCATGAATCCTCACAGTCACTCCTTTAATTTCCATTATTGTGCTCTTCTGGCTTTTTGGCAGCTGTGTAGCAGATACTCTCTGAACAGTAGTCACACAATAAGGGCATACATCAAGTTTCAAGGCAGTCTTTACAATCAGAACAATGTCAGAATTCATCTGGTTTATATCAATGTTGTTAGTACTGACCACAACAATGCAGAAAATATGTGCTTTGCCTTGCAGTTCTGCTTGTTTGGGACACTTCCTTTCACATTTTAAAAGCACTACCTGGGGATTTTGAAACTGCTGCTATAGAAACCAGTCCAGAAAAACATGAGGTGAGGTACCATACTATATAGTGTTAATGTATTTAACACTATATAAATATATAGTGTGCTATATATTTACTTCTTGATTGCTGAAATATTTATATTATTTTCCGTTGACTTTATAATGTACAAGTGAATGAGAAACAACCCAGAGTCCTCCCCCACCCCCAGTCTGTACCTTTTTCCTCTACCGCTGGGGCTTGTATATTTTTTTTTGGGGGGGGGGAGGCAATCAAATGCTTTTGCATCAGTTGAAGCAGTGCAGCTTGAGCCAG